CCAATTCCTTTACATTAATACTTCAAGTAACTAAGCAAAGTGGTGCTTTTCTTCTATGGAGCAAAAAAATTAAAAATTTATCACTATAGCCTGTTGACTAGTTAACTTAAAAGCACTTGAAAACATACTACAGTGACGCAGTCACAACAATGTTTATAGCAGCTCAATTTACAGTAGCCAAACTATGGAACCAACCTAGGTGCCTCTCAACAGATGAATATATAAAGAAAATGTGGTATATATACATAATGGAATATTATTCCACCATAAAGAAAAATGAAATTATGGCATTTGTCAGTAAATGGATAGAACTGGAGAATATCATGATAAGTGAAATAATCCAGTCCCCCAAAACCGACCAGGCACAGTGGCGCACACCTGTAATCCCAGTGGCTCGGAAGGCTGAGGCAGGAGGATTGGGAGTTCAAAGCCCCTCAGCAACTTAATGAGGCACTAAGCAACTCAGTAAGACCCTGTCTCTAAATAAAATACAAAAATGGGCTGGGGATGTGAATCAGTTGTTAAGTGCCCCTGGGTTCAATCCCTGGTACCAAACAAACAAACAAAAAAGCAACCAATGGCCAAATGTTCTCTCTGATATGCAGATGCTAAAATATAATAAGGTAGGGGAGGAGAAAGAATGTAAATTCAGTGGATTAGACAAAGGGGAATGAAGGGAAGGAAGGGGAGATGGAAATAGGAAAAACAGTAGAATGAATCAGACATAACTTTCCTTTGATCATATATGAATACATAGCCAGTGTAATTCCACATTATGTACAACCAGAATGGGATCAACCAGAATGGGATCATAATTAGAATGGGTTGTACTCCATGTATGTAGAATATGTCAAAATACACTCTACTGTCATATATGTCTAAAAAAAAAAAGCATCTGGGGGCTGGGGATGTGGCTCAAGCGGTAGCGCGCTCGTCTGGCGTGTGTGCGGCCCGGATTCGATCCTCAGCACCACATACCAACAACGATGTTGTGTCCGCCAATAACTAAAAAATAAATATTAAAAAATTCTCTCTCTCTCTCCCTCTATCACTCTCTCTTTAAAAAAAAAAAAGCATCTGAAAAAACAGCAGGTGCAGGATAACCCTGATCTTCATGTTATTTCTTAGAATCGGATTAAATTCCTATGTGAAAGATACAACATCCTTAACCTTGAGTTTGAGAAATTGAGATGAGAGAATTCTACACAGACTTTGTTAAAAATAGCCCTATCTTTTAAGTATCCCCACATAATTGAGCTGCCTCTTCACAACTTACTATTCTTTGACCAATTCAGTATATACGTAATTGCTTCTTTGAGTCTTCATTTTCATATGAAGGCTCCTGGGCCATGTAAAACTGGTATCAAATAATTTGGTACACTCTTCTCCTGTTAATCTGTCTTATGTCAATTCTCAGGCCCATAAGAGACCCCAAGAAGATGGAATTAGAGTTTTACTGTCCCTACAGTTTCTGGCAAGAGAATAGGATCCTAAAAGTCTGGAGTGTTCCCATTTGCTCTGGAGACTGCAGATAGGATACTGGAAAACCTGCCAAAGCCAGAAAAAGGTAGAAATTCTTATCAAAGTCAGCACTACTGGAGTTCATTCTGGAATGACTGATTGTGAGAGGAAGGTAAATTTTTTTTCCTTGTCTTTTCCTTTCCAAATTAATTTTGCCAGGAAAAAAAACATTTGTAAGAATGAACTCTTTGGGCTGGGGTTGTAGCCCAGTGATAGAACACCTTCCTAGCATGTGTGAGGCACTGGGTTCGATTCTTGGCACCTCATATAAATAACTAAAATAAAGATCCATTGACAATTGAAAATATTTTTTAAAAGAATGAATTCTAATATGGAGTGAACATCTTTATATACAGAGTTATGAAAACTTGTGCTGTAAATGAGTAATAATGAGTGTAATACATTCCACTATTGTCATGTATGTAAAAAATAAATTTAAAAAGGAATGAATTTTTTGAATTTTTGCTCTGTGAATTTGGTTCTGAGTACCCATTGCTTATTGATCCATAGCCTCCCAGGAATCCCCCTTGTTTCTTTTGTCTTTGTCTTCTGTGTGGTTTATATCATGAGCAGGAAAAGATAAGATTCTCCTTTTGTTTTATGTCTTGAGATCTTGACTTTGTGACAAAAACAGATAATCATTCTGGTCTTCACCAGCTAAGGAGTGCAGTTTGTCATGCTGGTACCAGGCAGCTAGCCAGCTGGAATCAGTAACACAAAGGGTCTCTTTGTCCAAAGGTATCAGTTCTCAGGGGAGTTTGTCTTAATTATCTCCAATCTTCCTTGCCTTTTTAACAATGAGGATCTTTGCTATCTAAGCCTATTTTGGAGGAGATTTTGAATCTTAAAACAGACTGCATCTTTTGCACTTTGAAATGCACTTGTGTCCATAGTTTGTTGAACCATAGAAGGCCTCTTGGTTTCAAGTCATAAAAAGACTCACAAAGTAAGTATATATTTGAAGATTTAGAGTTTTGTATCTAAAAGATTGTGGGGTTTTTTGTTTGTTTGTTTTTCTTTGTTTTTTTTTTCTTTTCTTTTTTTCTTTTTGCAGTGCTAGGCAAATGCTTTACCACTGAGCTACAACCCCATCCCACTTCCTTCCTTCCTCCTTCTCTGTCTCCGTTCCTCCTTCCCTCTTTTCCTGCTCTTTCTTTTCTTTTCATGTACAAGATCCAGAGTTTGTGGATCAAACTCAGGATCTTGTACATGCCATGCAAACGCTTTATTACTCAGGTATATTCCCAGGCCCAAGTGCTTTCTTTCTTTCTTTCTGTTTTTTTTTTTTTAAAGACTACTTGATTCCAAAAATCTATCCTATTGGTACATATAGAAAGATCAAATTTTAAAAGGCACACAAAGGAATATATAATGGTTATGTGAGAAATAGAAAGTCTAGGGGTCCATTTTCAGAGTATAGTATTCAGCCTTAATTAGGTCCAATTGTAGTAGTTCTTCCCTTTTGCCTGCCCTAATTCTAAAATTAGCCAATTGTGTAGATTGTTCCATTGTGTTCTCCAATCAGGGTGAAGGGCAGTGAAGCATTAGGTATATAAACTAGGGGGATTGTGCACCCAGGAGGGTTTGCTAACCAGGTTCCTGTAACATACTATTCTGGCAGAAGTAAAGGTTTGCTTTACCCACTCTCTTTTGAGCACACGTTTGATTTCTTGGGGTATCTGGTTATTTCTAACAGTTAGCTTTATGAATCCCTTAGCAAGATTAAACAACAAAAATTAGATATAAAAGAAAAGTTTAAGTTTTTATCCATTATAAATTCTCCTATTATGCCCACCTTTGTTGCCCTTTACTTCTGATTGCTTGTCCTTAACCTCCCCAGAAGATCTTTTGGATATTTGGGCCTCTAGATCAAATGTCTTGTCAATATCTTGTCTTATCTCTTTAGCAAATTCCTTTTACTCCTAAAATTCCTCCCAATTTCTCTAAATATCCTTTAAACACCCAGATGCCTACTTTAGCTTCCTTTTCCCTGTAAAATTTACAGGAAGCATGCCAGCCTGAACTCCAGGCCCAAGATAAACAAGTTATTTATGTAAATGCTGACAGCCAGAAGATAAGCATGACAGACTCCAAGAACATGCATCCAAGTTTGCTTTACTGTATCATACATATCCTCCTACTGCATGAGGTTCTGTAATCAAACTTCATCACCTCTAATTCTTTCTGTATTTTTGGCCCTCTCTCTCTCTCTCTCTCTCTCTCTCTCTCTCTCTCTCTCCCTCCCTCCCTCCCTCCCTCTCTCTCTCTCTCTCTCTCTCTCTCTCTCTCTCTGTTCAAACTAAGATCTGTACTTGGTAGGCAAGCATGCTATCACTGAGATACATCCCAAGTCCTTAATTTAGAATCTTTAAGAGGGAGAGCATCTCTTCAATGATTAGGAGCGATACAAAGTAGAAGTAACTAACCTCTGAGTTCAATCCCTGGTACCAAAAAAATATGTGAATAAAAAGTTGTTTCAGGGGGCTGGGGTTATGGCTCAGCAATAGAGCACTTGCCTAACACATGTGAGATGCTGGGTTTGATCCTCTGCACCACATAAAAATAAATAAATAAAATGAAGGTATTGTGTCCAATTACAAACAAAACACACACACACACACACAGAGAGAGAGAGAGAGAGAGAGAGAGAGAGAGAGAGAGAGACACAGAGAATGATTCAAATAAGATAGAACTGAAAAGATATAAAAGTTGAAAAAATAGAAAGCAAAAGAGAGATTCTTTTGTGTGTGCTGCTGGGATTGTACCCAGGGCCTTGTGCATTCGAAGCAAGCACTTTACCAACTGAGCTATATCCCCACCCCCAAAAGAGAAGATCTGTATGTTCATGATGACTAAGTTCAATAAATTCATTATAAGAGTTATTTAAATGACCGAAGCTGGGCACAGTGGCCTGTAATTCTAGTGACTTGGGAGGCTGAGACAAGTTCCAGAGGATAGCAAGTTCAAGGTCAGCCTCAGCAATTTACTGAGCAACTTAGTGAGACCCTGTCCCCCCAAAAAATATTTAAAAAGGTCTATGTGGATGAGCATGCTGGGTTCAATTGATCATGTGACCAAACAAGAGTGGGTTGAATAGGGACTTAAGATTCTTATCAGCCTACTATACTAATAACATCATCAGCACCTGTAACAGATTGCCAAGTAGTCCTTATATATAGTTGCATAAAGCTGAGCCTGCAAAGTCTTTTATTAGATATCCACTTTGGGGGCTGGGAATGTAGCTCAAGTGATAGCGCGCTTGCCTGGCATGCGTGTGGCCTGGGTTCGGTCCTCAGCACCACATACAAAGATGTTGTGTCCTCCGAAAACTAAAAAAAAATAAATATTAAAAAAAAATTCTCTAGATATCCACTTTGTAATCCGGATGCCCAGTAAAGCTTGGTAGAGGCGGATTTCTGCAGAAGAACAGATAGGGTTCGTGTGGAATACGCAACTGTAATATGTCCCTCTCCCCTAAGCAGAGTTCCTTCTTGGTCCGGTGGCCAACCCTTAGTTGGCATCAACACCGCAAGCCCAGGCCCACCTCTCCTCGCCAATGATGCAGTAGGATTTCCCGCCTAAAGTGAAGACCAATCAGAAGGATTGCTTTGCCATTCAAGGAAGATGGCCCATCACGATTGGGGGCTCAGCCCGCGGCCCCGCCCTGGAGCTGTTGGAACCAATGGCAGTCATGCAGATGATGAGCCAATCAGGACCTGGCATACTGCGTGGCAGTCGGCAGTTGAGCGTGGAGCGTTGAACTGAGAGAAGGTGAGAAGGCAACGTGCTACCAGGAGGAAGTTATCATGGTAAGTACTTGGCTGGAGGGTATAGGATGGCTTGGGAGGGACATCTGTGATGTGGGAGACCAGAGTGAATCTGAGCAGTGGCGAGGCCACTGAGGACTGCCCCTGGGAGGCCGCGCTGGCTCTTGCCCGAGGAGCATGGATTTCGGGCTGTACCTGAGCATACAACGGCCTGTGCCCACTGCCCTCTGCCTTTCCCAGGCTCGCCAGGCAGCAACCAAGAAAGCTTCCCAACCTTTCCTTCCCTAACAGAGTTGCCCATAAAGCTATGAGCTCCTCACGAGGGCATTTACAAATACAGGTAGTATTTACAACGTCTTTACGAAAGAATAATGGAAAAACCTCCATTAGAGTTTTGTTGTTTATACTTCCAGTTTAAAAAAAATGCAAAACCAAACAAACGGGGAATAGATATGGTTATTCTCGTCCCCCTTTTTTTGTACTAGAGGTAACTTTGCTTTTTCCTCGTGCAAAAAAAAGTCTGCTGGTGCAGTGGTGAATGCCTGTAGTCCCAGCTACTTGGGAGGCTAAGGCAGGAGAATCACTTGAGCCTAAAAATTTGAGAACAACCTGAGCAACATAGTGAAAGCCCTAGTAGGCTTTCTCTGAGTTGGCGTATGAAGATCTGCATTGTTAGCCAGGTGCGGTATTGTAATCAGAGCAACTCAAGAGGCTGAGGCAGGAGGCCAGCCTGGGCAATCTAGCGATCTAAGGATCCCATTTCAAAATAAAAAAATGAAAGGAGTTAGGGATGTAGGTCAGTGATAGAACAATGCTAGGTTCAATCCCCAGTATCAGGAAAAAAAAAACTAAAAGAAATCTGCGCCGTTTACTGTGGCATAATATTCTGTGTGGCTATACCTTAATGTGTAGTTTATTTTATTTTTAAGTATTTATGTATTTTTTGTCGTTGGACACAAACCTTTACTTCACTTATTTATTTATTTATTTTAAATATTTATTTTATTAGTTGAAGTTGGACACAATACCTTTATTTCCACTTATTTATTTTTATGTGTTGCTGAGGATCGAACCCAGGGTCCCGCTTGTGGGAGGCGTGTGCTCCACCACTGAGCCACAACCCTAGCCCCCACTTATTTATTTTTATGTGTTGCTGAGGATTGAACTCAGGGTCTCGCACCTGTGAGGCCAGCGCTGTACTGCTGAGCCACAACCCCAGCCCTGTGGTTTATTCATCCTGTCCTGTTTCACTGGATCTTTGGGTAATTTCTAATCATTTTACACAGAAAGCTGCAGGGAGTTACCTGTACTCTAATGTAGGTGGAGTGTGATTCCAGAAATAGATGTCTGTGATTTTGTAGATGTAGTCAGATTCCTTTCCATCAAGAATAAATGAGAGGGGGCTGGGTTTGTGGCTCAGTGGTACAGCACTTGCCTAGCATGGGTGGATCACTGGGTACAATCCTCAGCACTACATAAAATATATAAATAAAGGTATTGTGTCCAACTACAATTAAAAAATATATTTTAAAAAAGAATAAATGAGATCTCCTGTTCTCTCACAGAAGGGAAGGCTTCTGTTCATTTTTATATTCCCAGCTCATAGATACCTACTAGGTAACTGTTGAAATAATCCATTAATTAATACATTACACATCAGTGGAACCCAACCAACAGCTCTACCTTTGTGCACACCTAAAACAAGTGGCACACAACCACCAGATGTGATGGCATATGCCTGTAATAACAGCTACACCAGAGGCTGAAACAGGAAGATCACAAATAGAGATCAGCCTCAGCACCTTAGCAAGATACTGTTTCAAAAATAAAAAATAAAAAGAACCAGGCATGAAGCTCTGTGGTAAAGCACTTCTGGCTTCAATTCCTGGAATTAATGAATTAATGAATGAATAAATAAAACAAATGGCACTCAAAAAATGGTCTTATGTGGAGAAACACCGGAAAGACTGTTCTACAGAAATTGACACAGTCCAGTTTTAATTTTCTTCAATTAACTGAGGCTGATGGCCAGTCATTTCAGCCTCAATTTCCTCTTCAAATTAATATTTATGAAGTTTTTTCTTTTTTGTGTGTGCTAAGGATTGAACCCAGGGCCTTGCATATGTAGGCAAGCACTGTATCATTGAGCTACATCCCCATCCATTTAAAAAAAATTTTTTGTTTTGAGACAGAGTCTTGCTAAATTGCCTAGACTGGCTTTAAACTTGTGATCCTCTTCCCTCAACCTCCAGAGTCGCTAGAATTTCAGGTGCACACCACCATGTCCAACAAAATTTATAAAGTTTGATGGCTTTAAAACTTTATAAAAACATATGATTATATAAAAAATATGACTAATCTTGACATTTCGTCTCTATAAAAGTTGGTTTTGAGGACTGGGGCTGTAACTCAGTGGTAAAGCACTTGCCTCGCAAGTGGGTTAGAACCTTAGCACCACATAAAAACAAAAGATAACTGTGTGTTCACCTACAACTAAAAAAATTTTTTAAAAGTTGGTTTTGAGGCTTTTATTCTCTTATGGACAGAGCTTCTTAATTTTTAACGGTGAACTTTTTTTGTCTACTAGGGATTGAACCCAGAGGTACACTAAGCTACATCCCCATCCCTTGTTTAAAAATTTTAACTTTAAGACTGGGTCTCACTGAGTTTGTTAGGATCTCTCTAAATTGCTGAGGCTGGCCTTGAACTTGCAATCCTCCTGCCTCAAGTTCTGAGCCAATGGGATTATAGGTGTGCCCCACCACACCCAATTTAAAGGTGAATTATTCTAAAAGGAAAATACCTCTCATCCAGTAAGTAAAAAAGAAGCTTCAGGAATAGAAGAAATATGTGCATTTTACCATTGTAGGAGCTATTATTTTTAGCAAAGGCTTTGTTTGAGAAGAGAGAGAGAGATACAGACAGGCTGGGAATGTGGCTTAGTGGTAGAGTCCTTGCCTAGCATGCATGAGTCCCTGGGTTCCATCCATGGCATCACACATGAGCAAAAAAGGACAACCAAAACGATAATTGATCAATTAATTAATACACTTACAAAAAAGCTATTCAGCCGTTGTTGTATGATACAGTCAAGTTGAAATGCTTAATATGATTTCAAAAGTTCATAGTGGCCTGGGGATATAGCTTAGTGGTAGAATGCTTGCCTAGGTTTAGTCCTCAGCATGACAAAAAAGAAAAAAGTGTGTAGTACTTAGTTGAATTATTTAATTAGAAATTTTTTGTGGTGGGAGGTGGTGAGTATAAACCCAAAGAGCTGATCTGTGAGAAAACATGTTAGGCACTTTTCCTTTGTGTTAGAAAGGTTTGTGATAAAGGAAATGCCAGTAACAGAAATTGCTCAAAACCCTACTTATGCATTCTAGTGTCTCATCACAAATTGATTATCTGGCCTAGTACTGCCAGTAATCTTAGCTATCTGGGTGGCTGAGGTAGGAGGTGGAAAGTTAAGGACTTCCTCTGCAACTTAATGAAACCCTATCTCAAAACAAAAACTACATAAATAAAAGGGCTGAGGTTGTAGCTGTATTAAATCCCCAGTAACAAACAAAACAAAAAACCTTAAACTATCAGTTGTGTCTTAACCATTTGTCTTAAATGTACTAAGAAGAAGCAGAATTTCTAGGCTTTACAAGGAGCTTAAAGACAGAGACAAACCTACTCCTGGGTTAGGAGCTTTGAAACAACTGATGGTTTGAAATTTCTGAGCCACGATGTGATCATAGTTACATGAGGGGACAATAATACACTTCTTTAAAATTATCTGGATTTTCTTAATGAATATAATACCTTTATCTTATTTTTATGTGGTGCTGAGAATCGAACCCAATGCCCTATATGTACTAATAAGCAAGTGCTCTACCACTAAGCTACAACCCCAGCCCTATCTGGATCTTTATGTGGCCATTTTCACTGCTTGTTTTTTTTTTTTTTATTCTTGCTATCCCTTCTGAGTGGCTTTGGTAAAATGTTCAAGGATTTTTGTCCATTCCATTTTTTGTTGAATTTATTGACAAAAAATTACAATATTTCTTTATCTTGAAATATCTCAGCATCAGTAATAATCATCTTTTTTTGAGAGAGAATTTTTTAATATTTATTTTTCAATTTTCGGTGGACACAACATCTTTATGTGGTGCTAAGGATCGAACCCAGCACCCCGCGTGTGCCAGGCGAGCGCGTTACCACTTGAGCCACATTCCCAGCCCATCTTTTTTTCTCATTCCATTTCTAGTAATTTGTCTAAGCCTTTTCTGGATCAGTTGGGCTTGGAGTTCATCAATTTCATTGGACTGTTCTAAGTACCAACTTTTGCTGTCACTGATTCTAATATTTTTCTGGTTTTTTAAATTTTATTCTTACTCTTTATTATTTTTTTCTGCTTAATTTAGGTATTTGTTCTTTTTTCTAGTTTCTTAAGATGGAAGCTTCAGTCAATGATTTTTAGGTTTATAAAAGGAGAGTCCACGAGTCATTGATCTGTAGTTTTCTTTGATTTTTGGTATTAAGGTAATGCTGGCCTCATAGGAAATGTTCTTCTTCTGAACGAGTTGTATGTGTCATGGATTTTAGACTTCTTTTTAAGTATTATTTTTTAGTTGTAGATGAACACACAGTATCTTTATTTATTTTTATGTGGTGCTGAGGATGAAACCCAGTGCCTCACACATGCGAGGCAAGCGCTTTACCACTAAGCTATAGCCCTAGCCCTGATTTTAGACCTTTTACTTTTTTTATTTAATATTTTTGTAAGTTTCTTTCTAAGCTCTGTTTAAGCTGCATCCCACAAAAATTTGATGTTATGTCTTCATTTTCATTCCATATACTTTGCAAATTTCCCTTACTATTAGCTTTAAACATTTGGGAATTATCCAGATAACTTTGTTATTGATTTCTAATTCTAACATTCAGAAACATATTTTGTTTTATCTGGATTTTTTAAAAATGCATTGAAACTTATGACCAGTTGAGAATATGATCTATTTTAGTAAATTTTCCCTAGGCAGTTAAAATGTATATTTTGC